TGCTGCCGATCTCCCAGGGTTTGAATTAGCGGTCATGTTAAGACAGCTAATCACACTGAGAGGCGCTTCTGTAGCTGGTGGTAGACCTGCTTTCAGGAGGAGTAAAGGAAGTCAGAGGGAGAATGCTCTTCTCTCCATTTTCTGCTATGTGTACAGTGCCAAAAGGCCCTGGGGATTCCAGTGGATGAGAAGCTGGTTATGAGTCAAGAGGGTACCCTTGTAGCCAAGAAGGCGAATGGCATATTAGGATGCATTAGGAGGAGCATTGCCAGCAGATCCAGAGAAGTGATTATTCTCCTCTATTTGGCACTAGTGAATCCACATCTGGAGTATTGTGTCCAGTTCTGGGCCCCCCACTACAGAAAGGATGAGAAGAGTGAGGGGGGATTTGGTGGCAGCCTTCAACTTCCTGAAGGGGGGTTCCAAAGAGGATGGAGAGAGGCTGTTCTCAGTGGTGACAGATGGCAGAACAAGGAGCAATGGTCTCAAGCTGCGGTGGGGGAGGTCTAGGTTGGATAGTAGGATTAAACTATTTCCCTAGGAGAGTGGTGAAGCACTGGGGTGAGTTCCCTAGGGAGGGGATGGAATCTCCATCCCTAGAGGTTTTTAAGTCCCGGCTTGGCAAAGCCCTGGCCGGGTTGATTTAGTTGAGGTTGGTCCTGCTTTGGGCAGGGGGTTGGACTCGATGACTCCTGAGGTCTCTTCCAGCCCTGGGATTTTATGATTCTTAATGATCTTACAGTAAAAAAAAAAGTAATGTTATTCTGAGCATTTTACTACAATCCATTTGTATGGATTATTGAGGATACTTACCTCTGTTATGAAACGTGCTTAACCTTAACAAAAGCCAGGGTAGTTTGGAAATCTGTGAAAACTGTACCATACATTTTCTTAAATTTAAGATAGACCCCCTGCCTCAATCAATGCGCCTCTTACAAGATACACCCTACCAAACTGTAGAAAACTGTACTGGGGAAATAGGGTATAACTGAAGACTGTTGTAACGCAGAAGCGCGAGGGGACCAAATTGATACGGCACGCATAACCTTTGCTTTGGCTTCTGGACTTCCAGTAGCATTTTTTCAACGGAATCGCCTGATGTTTTGTGTTGGTTTTTGTTTTTATTTGTTAAAGAAGAAAACAATTCAAGTTGAAATACTTAGCGAGACCCAACACCGGGTAAGCACCAGGATACAAGGACTTGCGGAACGAACGCTTTCTGGAAATGAGGAAAGTGGAAAGAGCGTGCTATGCATTTTCAGTTGTATGTGCCCAAGTCCCCGGAATCAGGCAGGTTCATAGGAGCACAGCCTCACACACACCTCAGGGGATGCCCAATAGCGGCGTGCGCCATGTAAACGTGAGTGGTACGGTGCAGCCTTTCTTTGCTTCCAATGGGAGTCACTCCTGTTTTCTCACCTCAGAGGAAAACTGCTGCAGAAAGATACTGGACAACAGTGGGGAGGGGCTGCCAGAGCTTTCGGGCTTCTGCAGAGCCAGCCCATCCATTGGATGAATCAGAGCGGCCACCCCAGACCCAGCACCTTGGGGGCCCCAACCATCTTATGGACAGGACAGACCCGGAGGATTATGGGGGCCTGTCGCCACGGCAGCAGACTCACCACACAGGCAGCAGGAGCCAGCACAGCCCAGCAGCCTGCTCCCCCCAGCCCATCGTGCCCTGCTCCTTCACAGCGGGAACCCGGGCACTTTGAGACTGAGGCGTGTTGCTTCCCACCACTGCTGAGAAGCCGCATACACTGGGCTGGGAGAAGGCATCATGGTGGGGCGGAGCAGGCTGCTGGGCCATTCTGGCTCCTGCTGCCCGCATGGTGAATGGGGGAGAGACGACTCCTGCTGCTGCTGCACCAGGTCTCCATATGCCCCCGGGGCTGTGTTGCTCAGGGGAAGGTGGGCCCTGCGCTCCCCTCAGGATGGGCCTGGGCTCCTGCCACAGAGCATACTGGAGCAGCATCTTTCCCTCCGACAGAAAAAGGCCTCCACAGCTCCCCATTGCAGGAGCCTTTCCTTGTGCTGGGGAAAGACTTCCGCAGTGGGGCATTTCAGTGCTAAAAATGGCAGACACTTTGCTCGGGCAAACACAGAACCCTGTAGGGCTATGCCCAGGGTCGGACCGACCGGGTTCAGGAGTGTCTTCACTCTACTAGCTTCAGCACGGCTCTGTGCCTGCACTACTACTGCTACTCCCAGTATTGGGGTCTGTCATGCACGGACTCTGCAGCGTCGAGACCGCTCTCTGGCTATCGACGGGCTACCTGATACACACCAAAGGCTCTTTGTTCTTCACCAGACGGACAATTTTCACGGATTCTTCATCGAAATCATCATCAAAATTGTCAGGCAGAGGTGGCAGAACCGGGTCAAAGTTTTTCTGGGCAACGGTATCATGTACTACAAGCATCGCCTATACGAGGGGAAAAAAACCAAAAACAAGAGATTAAAATAGTTCTGGCAAAATTGAGGAGGACGCCGTTTCGCTTCTTCCAGAGATCAGAGCCAGTGCGAAAAGAGCCCATCCACTTTGGTGACAAGCCATCAATTATTTTCTTGGGGAGCATAAACTACCTCTTGTCTAACAGCCAATGTCATGAATTTCTGCTCTACGTGTGTTGGTGAAAAAGGAAGGAAGGATCCAATTTGCTTTTAAAAGACACCTGCATTCCCAATGAGGGAATCCTAAGTATTTCCTTTTTCTTTCATCTTTAAGGGCCTGATGCTAAAATCAGTGGGAGTCTTCTTATGGACATTAGTAGGAACAGGATTGTGTGCAAAGGCCTTGTCTATAGTGCCACGTTTTGAGTGTTTACACTATCGTGTGACTTTTGTCCTTTTATAGTCAACAAAGAGCCAGTGTGGACTCTGCTGTTTGTTTTGTCGAGAGAACTGGCTTCCACTTGTATCTCACAATGTCTGCCCTGGTGGCTGTGCTCAGTGTTTTGTGAACTCTGCTGCCCTGAATGTGCCTCTCCCCTTTCAAAGCTCTGAGAAGTATCTCACAGCTGAATGATCTGCCCTGTTTGGGGAACAAAGAGCAAATCATTAGGATGTTTCTGTTCTGCCCTGCTAGGAACACAGCGGCAGGCAGGCAGGCGGCTGCTGCCGCCGAGGGAGAGCTGGAGAGACTTGCTGTGCTGCTTTGACTTTCCTCAGCATGGAGAGCTCACAGAGCTATGAGGACATCCCAAGAAGCGCAGGGATCAGGTCTGCTTTCCCACAACACTGCACTGTGGGATGCTTACCCACACTGCTTTGCTCTATCAACAGGGGAGCTACAATACGGCCACAAAATGTCGACAATGGGAGGCGGAAAGATTGGTTTAACCGATTTTCATTTTGGGTGACTTTTGCATGTCAACAGTACTTTTGTCACCAAGTCTTGTGAGAGTAGACATAACCTAAGTGAAAGTGAGGGATGACAAAAAATGCATTTAGCTGCCTCTTCAAGTCACCCTTTAAATGTGTCTGCACAAGGCAGATTTCTATGTATATTAACACTTTGTATTTTTGCAGGCCAGGCACTTTACACTTTGAATTTGTTTTTCCCTCCAGTGGTTTAGCCACAGAAGTATTTAGCATGAGAGAAAAGAAATCTGAAAGACTGCCTTACACTGTTTGCCTTCCATCAATAAGGGATATTGGAAGCTTAGATGACAACCAGCCAGAAAATCTTATGTGAAGTCTACTCATATATTATAATCTTACATTTTGTGATGACATTTTCTTTATATTTTTAAATTTAACTTTCAATAACATATGAAACAACAACACTGTCTGGAACAAGTGCCTTAGTTTGATTTTTGGATTCGCTTTGCTCTGAGAGATGTTTTAAACCAGTTGTTTAGTGAAAAGATTTACATCTAGTTTGCTACATTCTGATTTCTGGCCCAAAAGGTCTCGACTAGCTCTCAAAGCAGTCCAACTGAGTTCACATTTGTCAAACATTTTGGAATCCTGAAAGGGAATGTGCTCTGTAAGTGCAAACTCTGTATTTATAATATGTAATTACTGCTATCCTTTGATTATGGAGCAGACAAATAAAATCCACTAAAAAAAAAAATCCCCTCAACATTAGTATGTTACATCTGGGCCTTTAACATAACTTTTCCAACAAACTGAAGGAAACTGGAGAACTGGTTCTTGGATAACAGAAACCCAAACAGAGAAGTGACCAGGAAATTCTTCTTATTTCTAGAGTTCACAGAACATTAGAACTAGAAGGGACCTCAAGAGGTCATCAAGTCCAGTCCCTGCCCTCGTAGCAGGACCAAGCACCTGCTAGATCAGTGGTACCCTACCGGTCGTCCACAGACCCCTGGTGGTCCACTACGGTACTGCAGGGGGTCGGTGAAAAGTTTAAAAATAAGGACTTGGCCCACCACTTACTTTTCTTTTCCTTTTCTTTTTTTTCCTGCCCCAAGGAGAGGGGTCTGTGAAATTGTAATAGATTGAAAAGCGGTCTGTATGCTCAAAAAGGTTTGGTACCACTAGTCTAGATCAGAGGTGCACAATCCGTAGAAAATTAAATTTCAATCCTTGAAATTAAAGGAACCACAACAAAATGTTCTGGCCGGCAGGGGTTTCTCCCCGCCCCCCCAACCAAAATGTTTGTGAATTAAAAAAGGTTGAGCACCACTGGTCTAGATCATCCCCGACAGATGCCTATCCAACCTGCTCTTAAATATCTCCAATGATTCCACAACTTCCCTAGGCAATTTATTCCAGCGTTTAACTACCCTGACAGTTTGGAAAGTTTTCCTCGTGTCCAACCTAAACCTCCCTTGTTACCATGTTTGCAACTCTGTGAAAAACAAAACAAATGGTAAAAGTTTACTTCACTAACCTACTCAAGGGCTAATTGCACAGAGGCAACGTTTTGTTGCTCGCATTTTGTGTTGCTCAAAGTAACAAAGATTTTAAATAGGCCCTCCCTAATGGCACATGGGCTCTGGTGATCTAATTTATTTTCTCCCACAGCGACTGAGCCAAGAGGAGTTAAAATACATTCTTCAGAACAGCCATAAACCAGAATCATCTCCTTGGATTACCAAAGTGAAGCCAAATGGGATTCAGACCTAAGAGGTCATGTGGTGGGGATGAATTATAGTGAGGGGTTAGTGAAAGGCAATGAAATGGAGACAAAGAACTCTTCTCCCACCTTAGAAAATAAAGTCTCGGTGGGGTAGCCACGTTAGTCTGTAACTTTAAAAAACAACGAGTAGTCCTGTGGCACCTTAGAGATGAACATACGTAGTATCATGAACTTTCTCTGTGATTGGTTTAGAGCTGGGGTGTCCAATCAGTTATGAAGCAGTAGTCACTACAGTAGCTACTGCTGTTGAGAGCTGGCCACGTTATTCTGAAAACGTAAATAATTTTGTGAGCCAGCTAGCCACACTCAACCAGCCAAATAGCCACATGCGGCTAGTGGTTAGTGTGTTGGACACCATGGGTATGTCTACACTACCCTCCTAGTTCGAACTAGCGGGGTAGTGTAGACATACCCCATGTGTTTAGTGAAAGTGCAGAATTGGCCTTCATATGCAAATCTGACACTCTCTCTCATGGCTCAAACAAAGATGGGCTGGATGGGCTGAAAATATAACCTGTTTTCCTTACATGCAACACCCAATTGACATCAAAAGCTAAGTACGGGACACTTCCAGACCAGTTAGTTAGCCTCATTGGCACTGGTACGACAATTGACAGGTACTTTTTCCCCCTCTGCCTTTTTCTGTTATAAATTGGGAGGGTCCCCCCTTTTTTCTCCACTCTGCTCACCTGAGGAAGTAGGTTTCGCCCACAAAAGCTCACGATACTATATATATATATATATACTTTTGTTAGTCTTTAAGGTGCTACAGGACTACTCATTGCTTAGAAAATAAATCAAACGGCAAGCTCACTCTATGGACTTGGGGAAGTCAGTGAATGTGATATACCTTGACTTTAGCAAAGCTTTTGATACGGTCTTCCACAATATTCTTGCCAGCAAGTAAAGGAAGTAAGGATTGGATGAATGCACTGCAAAGTGGATAGAAAGCTGGCCAGATTGTCGGGCCCAACGGATAGTGATCAACAGCTCGGTGTCTGGTTGGCAGTCAGTTTCAAGTGGCGTGCCCCATGAATCAGTTCTAGGGCCGGATTTGTTCAACATCTTTATTGATGACCTGGACGAGGGTGGACTCTGAAAAATTTCACTCAATCACCCACCCATCCTGCAAACCATGGAGTTTCCAATCCATCTCAGGCTTGCTTCAAACACAGCTTTTCTGTGTTGCCTCTGTGGAGACATTAATGCTCAACTCGCTTTTCTCAGTGTTTCTTATTATGATTGCGGTACGTGTGTATGCTAAAACATAAATAGTGATGGGTAATTTTATCTGTTCTCTTTTCTTGGGAGTCTTGCACTTGGGATGGAAGAATCCCAAGCACTGATGTAGGCTGGGCACCAACTGACTAAACAGCAGTTCATCCAAAAAAGGCCTGGGAGAAGCTGTATATGAGTCAGCAGTGTGCCCTTTTAGCCAAGAAGACTAACAGTATATTAGAGTGCGTTAGGAGGAACACTGCCAGCAGATCTAGAGAAATTATTATTCCCCTTTATTTGGCTCTGGTGAGGCCACATCTGGAGTATTGTGTCCAGTTCTGGGCCCCCCACTACAGAAAGGATGTGGACGCATTGGAGAGGGTCCAGAGGAGGGCAACCAAAATGATGAGGGGGCTGGAGCACGTGACCTACGAGGAGAAGCTGAGGGATTTGGTTTTATTTAGTCTACAGCAGAGAAGAGTGAGGGGGGATTTGAGAGCAGCCTTCAACTTCCTGAAGGGAGGCTGCAAAGAGGAAGGAGAGAGGCTGGGCTTAGGAGTGGCAGATGGCAGAACAAGGAGCAATGGTTTCAAGTTACAGTGGGGGAGGTTTAGGTTGGATATTAGAAAAAAATACTTCACTAGGAGGAGGATGAAGCACTGGGATGGGTTCCCTAAGGAGGTGGTGGAATCTCCATCCCTAGAGGTTTTTAAGTCCCCGCTTGACAAAGCCCTGGCTGGGATGATTGAGATGGGGTTGGTCCTGCTTTGGACTTGATGACTCCTGAGATCTCTTTCAGCCCTAGGAGTCTATGATTCTAAGATAATGGAGCTTTTCTGCATTAGGAGCAAACCTCTTGTCTCTTCCATCTGCAGGAGGAGACAGATTCTGCACATCTCTTAAAAGGTATAGGACTAGAACTCCAGTCCTGCAGCCTTTAAGATGCATATAAAGCAGGGTCCCCCTGCCCCAACCCCACAACCCTTCACAATGTTTTCGGTCTGGGAAATGCAGTGCTTTGGAGTATGTGTTTTACCCTAAGATGTGGTGTTGACAATAGCTGAAGCAGTTCTTTTTCTTCATTATTCACAGGTGTCGACTGCAACTCTTCCATTACCTTAAAAAGTATTAACAAAAAAACAGAAGGAGGCAATACATTTGCAACTGGATTTTCTGATCAACGTTGGTTAATTTCTGTGCCTTGCTTCAAAGAAGCAATAGCAATTGAAATACACATTTCAAGGCAATTTCAAGAAAATATGCATGCATCCTGAAAGGTAGGAGTGCTTCTAACTGGCTTTATTGTCATGTATATTATTAGTAGTGCTTGAAGGTAGACAGAAATTGAAGCCTTGAAATGTACACCCTACACAAATACAGTAACGCCAAACTCTAAGTTGATCAACTAGCCTTTACTAATAGGCTGTGTCTACATTGGCAATATTTTGCACAAAAGCAGCTGCTTTTGCGCAAAATCTTGCCACCTGTCTACACTGGCCGTGAGTACTTGCGCAAGAACACTGACGTTCTAATGTAGGAAATCAGTGCTTCTTGCGCAAATACTCTGACGCTCCCACTCAGAGATAAGCCCTCTTGCGCAACTGTTCTTGGGCAAGAGGCCAGTGTAGACAGGCAATGTTAATTTCTTGCGCAAGAAAGCCCGATGGCTAAAATGGCACGGATGCTTTTGCGCAAAAGCACATCTCTTGCACAAAGGCACATGCCAGTGTAGACGCTCTCTTGCGCAAATACTTTAACGCAAAAACTCTTGCGTTAAAAGTATTTGCGCAAAATCATGCCAGTGTAGATGTAGCCATGCGTTGTCATGGACATCTGACACTCTGTGTATTTCCAGGCCATCCAGTCTGTGATGACATCCCCAAGGGTACGTCTAGACTACAGGCTTTTGTTGACAGAGACTTTGTCGACAGATGCAGTCGACAAAGCTTCTGTCAACAAAGAGTGTCTAGACTACATCCAGTTCTGTCGACAAAGCGGCTTGCTTTGGCGACATGAGAGTGCAGACACAAAGGACAGTGTAGATGCAATAACGCCTTCTGTCAACAGAACTCTGTCAACAAAAGGTGTTATTCCTCGTAGAATGAGGTTTACCGCCATCGACAAAACTGCTGAGTTCTGTCGACGTTATGTCAACAGAACTCAGCGGTAGTGTAGATGCAGGTATCTTTTGTCAACAAAAGTCCACTTTAGTCGACAAAACTCTGTAGTCTAGACACACCCCTAGAGACCAACTTCATATATCACTCAAAATGAATGACCTTGCTGATTAGCTAAAAATGGGTATAGATGCGTCCTCACAAGTTTTTTAGCCAGAAATATGTAGGCTGTGACGTGTCTCTGTGCTCATCACGGTGACCTGCTGATCATGGTGATGTTTGAGCACAAGTTATGTTGAACTGTAAAAAAGAGACTCAGACTTATAAATTGAAAATGTTTAGTGAACCCCCTTAACATTTCTAAATGCAAGGGTCAGATACCTAGCACGTTTTAAGACTATATGGAGAATAAGAAGTGTTGCACTTCACGGAGCTACTAAAGAACCTTTCATCAATTTCAAAGAACTTGAAAGAGCTGTCTGAAGACCAACTCCGTCAAGGTAATTTCAGTTGTGATAGCGGAAGTCCTACCTTTATATTGTAAATCACAGTTCTCTGGTTATATTGGATCACTGAAATCCCACAACTGTTGAATTGGCACATTTTGTGAATGGGAACCATCAGGTGGCATAGAGTCAAGGTAGGGTATGGTAGCCTCTATATCCCACCAATCCCTAGATACCAGAACACCTCTTTGAGCCTGCAGGCAGCCAGGTACAACTTAGAGCAGCCTTCGGGTTGTTCTAGGTTGTATACTAGGACTGATTTAAATCCTCCTTTTACACCATGTCTCTTTCCTCAGGACAACACTAAGGACAACTCTAAACTGGCCCATATGCCTCGTGACAAGGGAAACGAAACTGACAACAAGGTCAATATTATTCACTAGTAGCTCCAACCTGTGTATGTAGTGGGAACACAACAGGAAGGAATCCGGAAGAGTTCTGTGCAACTCAGGGTTCATCTACACTGCACCGTTAGCTCGAAATAAGACACGCAATTTGCACTACGCAAATTGCGTATCTTATTTTGATTCTATTTAGAAATAGGCTATTTCAAAATTTGGTGCATCTGCACAGTGCCAAATTTCGAAATAACGCACTATTTCAAGACCTCCCTTAACCGTTGTGGAATGAGAGTTACAGGGATGCTGAAGAGACATGTTCAAAAGACACGAGGTAGCTAGTTTGAGACACCGCTGGTATTCCGAAATAGCCTTACAGCGTAGACATACCCTTACTGTATACATAAAGTAAGATTATCAAATATAGTTGTTAAACAATAGCAGAACTCAAAAGGTGCTTATGTCCCAAAGCTAACAACATAAGTGTGGAAATCTCAGTTTTTAATTATTTGATTATTCCTTTACTTCCCTAATTCAGTGTAAAAAGTCGATGACAATACAATTAGCTAAAGCAGGAAAATGGGGCACAGGACTTGCCAGACTGGATCAGACCAGGGCTTCATCGCATCTGGTGTCTTATCTCTGGCCATGGCCAACACTGGCCTACAGTAGGCAATCTTGAGATAATCTGCCCCAGGGACAAGTTTGCTGCTAGAGGTTGGTCTATAGCTTGAAATCTGATGATGTATCTCCTTGCCAAACCTGTTGCTTGTTTGGTAGACTATCGACTACATATTTTAAAGAGGTTGTCTGTGTGTCCATCAGTCGGTGAGTCCAATTGTGCAAGAACCCCTAAACGGTGAAAGCTAGGACCACCAAATTTCGTCGGCAGCTTCCTCTTACCATAACTTAAAGCAAGGTCAGGGTTTGGTTGTGCCAGGACAATGGGATGTGCCTGGAATTCGACTGTTTCTCATAAAATAGAAAGGGAGGGGTCTGATAGGAGAGGTCTGATAGGAGGGACAGTTATTCTGTAGAATGACCACAGGGGGGCAGCAAGGGGCCAGGCACGGGGACTGAGACAGCTATAACCCCACTGGGCCAGCAGGGAGCAGAGGTGGAGAAAGGGACAGCAATCTACTATACACTTCAGAGAATTTGTCTGTGTGTCTGTCTGTCCCCCAGCTAGGGGGACGAGTATCCTTCCCCTGGCTGTGCCTGCTGCAGGCACTTCTTACCTGGCCCCACGGTGCTCCGGTGAGAGAGGGCTGGGGTTGTCCTCTCTCCCTGGGGCAGTCTGCATCCCGAATCCCAAATCCCCAGCTCCACCCCAGAACAATGATTTAAATGAAGAAAAACAACACTTATTTGCATTAAGAACCCAAGCAACGCCGGGTAAATCTTCTAGTAGTTACTGTTATAACTAAAGATATTTTTGTTCATCCTTAATATCTCAGCCTCAGTAATACCTGGCAGCGGATTCCACAGTCACACATGTTGTAAATTATGTCCAAATCTTCATTTAGGAGCTTGTAAACTCACGTATAGCAGCAGAAACCTGATTTAACTTTCAAGAAATGTGTGTGATATCAAACTGTTTTAGTTCAGTTCATGTACGAGTATCTTCAGTTGGTGACTTTCAGTTCTTTAATATGAGACTTACAATCTATGATATCAAAAAAAAATTACTAAACATACTTACATCCTCAGCTAAAGCTGCTGCACTGTGTAAAACAGGGGTAGGGCTCTGTCTTTCATAATGGCGGAGCTTTTCATGAATCTGAAACACAGGTGCTTTCCGGTAAGTGACTACAAAGATCAAGTCTTCCTGGACTAATTAGCAATGTACTGCAGCTAATTAGTTGAAACACCTACTGCTGAAACCAGAAGGATCTAGGTCAGTGGTTCTCAAACTTTTTGGCCTCTTACATGAGATCTCCCTGCTCACTGCAGACCTTTCTGCGGACCTCCAGCCAGCTAGCCATGATGACAAAATGGGTGCAGGAAGGGATGAGGGTGGGGGGTCTGGCCGGGAGTCAGGGTGCAGGAGTGGGGTATTGGCAAGAGGGAGGGTGCTGGAGTGGGGTGGGTGTGCGGGATCTGGGCATGAGAGGAATGAGGGGCTCCGTGCCAGCTGCTGCTCCCATTGGCCATGATTCTGGCCAATAGGAGCAGCGGGAAAGCCTCCAGGCAAGTGATTTTCTGTGCTGCCATTCCCCCAATCCAGGGGAGGGGGAGTGGTGGCAAACTGAGCCACTTCCTGCCCCTGCAAACCAAATCCGACCCACAAGGCTCACCCCCACCCCTGCAGCAGGAAGCCAGAGTTGGCACTCCAACCTCGTGGGGGGAGGGCAGGGAGCTGACGCGCCACCATGGGCTAACCCACTGCAGGGCGGCGAGGGGGGCGAGCTGCAAGCCCGCAGCCCACTTGCAAGATGGTCGCGGACCACTTTGGGAACCACTGATCGATGTCCAAAGGAAGTATCGAGAAGGAAACCAACGCAGGGCAGATTTTCAAATGTGCCGAAGGGTTTCAGGAGCACAAGGCTCAACTTGCGCTCCTAAGTCTCTTCTGACTTTTTGAAAGAATCTCCCCCACAGCAAAGCTTGGAGGAAGAGAGAGAAAAATGTGATTAGTGTCTTAGATGATTACTTAAGGCCAAAGGGCCAACGGCTGCGTGTTAGAACGTGGTGCCCATTTTCCAATCTCACTGATCAGACTTATAGCAGGATCGAATCCCTGCTTTGGTGCATGTATCCCCCCCTGCAGTGATGATGGCAAATCCGCAAAGGACTTCCAGAGACATTCTAGCATTTCTACGGTGTTCATTGTTATTGTTCATTCTATAGCGCTGCTCCCCAAATTGGTCTTCTGAATAGGGATGTAAAATCCCATGTTTAACCAGTTAACTGATTAAACGGGGCCAGGCTGGGGGAGGGAACTCCATTCCATCCCACTGGGCTGGAGCAGCCCCCGTGCTGCAGACAGGGGCTGCTCCAGTCTGGCTGCTTCTGGCCCCATGTAAGGCTGCGAGCCAGTGTGGGCTGGGAGCCGGCAGCCCTCCCCCACCACTCATTGCTGCACTCCTCCCCCGGTGCAAAACTTCTGACTCCCCCAAGCGGGCAGCGGGTTGCTCCCAGGTAACCGTTAACCGTTACCCGGTAAGCATCACCCATTAATGGCGATGCTTATTGGATAACCACATCCCTACTTCTGAATGCTTTTTATTAGTCCATAATGCAGATTTTTAGATCAAAAGGGAATATTCTTTTGGCAAATATCTTAAGTGTTAATGAACGACCCCTGCTGAGAACAGAATAGTCCCTGCTCGTATATTTGCTGCTGGTGGTGGTTCTGTAGATGGGAGGATGTCTTGTAAAAATAAAGTTCCCTGTTTTAAAGGGAAATTAAAATGATTGCACTCCAAAAGGTTTTCATTACTGAGTGCTGAAAACGTAAAAATAAAGCCCTCCAAATTGTTAAAATAATAATTGTATCTATAAAAAAATCAATTTTGTGACCAGAGACTTCTGATTCTTAGTGATGGCACCTTTCTCCAGCCTCAAAATGCCATTCCCTCAGAACTAGGCAGAAATCTCATTCCTGAGAATATAGAAAAGAGGAATTTTCATAGGATCTTGATCATGTTTGTCAAGCAACTTTAATGTACCTGTTCAGTTTGCTCTTCTGTGTAAAAACAAAGTTAGACTTCGTAACACAATACAGAAAAGAAATTAAGAACACCAAGAATTCCTGGCCACAAAGAAAAGGAAATTGTGTGAAACAAACATTTACCTTCATTAGGTAACTCAGACTTTTTTCACTGAAGACATCTCTCAGGAATCCCATTTCTTCTTTGTGATTTGAGTCGGGCCTCAGCTGAGATGTTAACAGGGCCAAAGTCTCATGCAATCCTAAATCAATTGCAAAATGTAGAGAACAAAAGTTTGGTGGATTACAAGCATCCTTTATCTGCTCTCTGTTATAAACAACACACTGACTTTATTTGACCAGCACAATAAAATTGTGCTTCTGCTAATTAAAGTTACACCGAAACTTGTTGCTTCTGTCCAATCATTGCTCTTGATTTTCATTTCCTTTCCTAGCCAGCAGATCTCACTTGACTTTTCCACATGTTAAATCATGCAAAAGCAGAATCCACGGATTCCGTACTTGTAAAAAGTCATGTGACTAGTGAAATGTTGCTCCCTTTGTCTGATGTTTTTCTGGGTTCCTATAACACAGAGATCTCTTTGAAATCTTCAGTCGCTAACTTGGACCTATGCTAGAGTAACCCGCTTGCTTGCATGGCAGCATTTAGAAGTGTAAATGAGGAAAGAAACGGTTACTGAAGGTCTGTATTTTGTTGATGCGGACACAGCGGCAAAAAGACACATACATGGAATTAAGCAGAAGGTCACAACTTTTATTAAACTTTCACATGGGGGGGGGACGCTACCCACCCATTACCCAAACTCTCTGGTAGCAGGCATTTAATTTGCTCCAGTGTCGGGGATACAGGACTCCTTACCAGGGATGTAAAATCCCGTTAAATTAGTTAACCAGTTAAATGTTAAGTTTAACTGGTTAATCGATTAAACATGGCAGCTGAGCGGCTGCTCCAGCCCCATCAGTTAACCATAACTGGTAAGCCCCTCCTGTTAAAGGTTAGGGTTGACCGTTATATAAACTTGCCCCATGTTACAGGTTTCCTCTCCCTAGCCCCTAGGACTGAGCTGTCTGAGTCCCCGGCCCTTCAGGATGGAGGATGCAGAAGAATGGCGATCTCAGCCTGTGAACCCCACAAAGTTTCGCCCTCTTCCCTGAACCCAAGGCCATCAGCCAACCCCAGGTCTTTCCCCTTTGGGAGCTGTTCATTTTAGTCTCTTCACCGCTTTGGAAACTGGCTGCAAATTGCAATGACTGAACAGCTGCACACAAGTACCTCAGCTAGGCACTGAGTGCTTTCCTATGCAACCGCTGTGGCCTGAAGGCAAAACGTTCCCAGCTGTAGGGTTGCCAGGTGTCCGGTATTGAAAATCCCGGGTGCTTAGCTGGTTCTGCAGGGGAGCTGTCTGGCCCAGAGCAGGAAGACAAGATGGCGGACGGCCACCAGCAGCCTGTTACGGCCAAAAAGCCTCAAAAGCATTTCTTAAATGGGCCATGCTGTTTGTTGTTTGGGGGAGGGGAGGGGGTTTTGCTCAACAGCTTTGGTCTCCCTCTTTTTTTTCCCCTCAACAAATTTTTTTCCCTTTTCTTTTTTTTGGGGGGGGGGAGGGGAAAGGGGTGTTCGGCATTTTTGGTTAAACCATCTGGCAACCCTACCCAGCTGAAATGGAGCTGAAAGAAGTGCCACAGGTTAAATCCCAGGAGCTGGAGGATGCTGGACAATCTGCCCCCGTCCCTGCATCTGGCCAATGGAGTTCGACTCCCGGGGAAGAAGCTGCCTTGTTTCGTAGCGAGTGTTTCCCTCTGTTGCTGCGGAGCCAGTCCCCTTTCGCCGCCGGCCGCATCAAGGTCCCAGGCGGCTGGCATGTCTGTGTGGCCCGTAGAGCTAGCTTAGCATTCAAGGCAGCAGTCGCTCAAGAGAGCTACAGACCTATTTCCTGTAAGGCCTTCATGATTCATATGCTGGCAGGCCTATTTGTCCCAGTCAGACCCTCGCCACCAGATTAGATTACTAAATGCCATGGCTATGTCTACACTGGCATGATTTTCCGGAAATGCTTTTAACGGAAAAGTTTTCGCATTTTCGGAAAAGAGCGTCTAGATTGGCACGGACGCTTTTCCGCAACAGCACTTTTTGCGGAAAAGCGTCCGTGGCCAATCTAGATGCGCTTTTCCGCAAAAAAGCTCCGATCGCCATTTTCGTGAACAATCTGCCCCCGTCCCTGCATCTGGCCAATGGAGTTCGACTCCCGGGGAAGAAGCTGCCTTGTTTCGTAGCGAGTGTTTCCCTCTGTTGCTGCGGAGCCAGTCCCCTTTCGCCGCCGGCCGCATCAAGGTCCCAGGCGGCTGGCATGTCTGTGTGGCCCGTAGAGCTAGCTTAGCATTCAAGGCAGCAGTCGCTCAAGAGAGCTACAGACCTATTTCCTGTAAGGCCTTCATGATTCATATGCTGGCAGGCCTATTTGTCCCAGTCAGACCCTCGCCACCAGATTAGATTACTAAATGCCATGGCTATGTCTACACTGGCATGATTTTCCGGAAATGCTTTTAACGGAAAAGTTTTCGCATTTTCGGAAAAGAGCGTCTAGATTGGCACGGACGCTTTTCCGCAACAGCACTTTTTGCGGAAAAGCGTCCGTGCCAATCTAGATGCACTTTTGCGCAAAAAATCCCCGATCGCCATTTTAGCCATCGGGGCTGTTTTGCGCAAAACAGTACTGTGCTGTCTACACTAGCCCTCTTGCACAAATGATTTGCGCAAGAGGGCTTTTGCCCGAATGGGAGCAGCATAGTATTTCCGCAAGAACAATGATGATCTTACATGAGATCGTCAGTGTTCTTGAGGAAATTCAAGCGGCCAGTGTAGACAGCTGGCAAGTTTTTCCACAAAAGCAGATGATTTTGCGGAAAAACTTGCCAGTCTAGACACAGCCCACGTGTCACCAGACTATGTTCCCCCTGAAATCTGACGCTTTATCCAGCCTCATTCAGGCCACTCACTTCCTGGAAGTTCCATGCTGCGGTGGTTGATCTTCCAGAGTTTGACTGAGTGGGTCTAGTAAAGACTCCCTAAATCAAATACGGACGGCGCTCCCATCAACGCTGGAACTCCTACTCCATGCGAGGCATAAGGGAAGTTAACAGGAACATTTCTCCCATCAACTTTCACTGTGGAGACAGCACCGAAGATCGAATTAAGGTAAATCGACTCTAGCTACGCAATTAACATAGCTAGAGTTGTGTATCTTAATTCGACTTTCCAGGTTAAGTACAGACCAGGCCTCAGACTGGATATCCTTGGTTTTTAGTACTTGCATTGATAGGTAATGGATTTGTACAATCTTAATTCTAAGGCTACATCTGTACTGCAGTGCTATTTTGGGATACCGGAGGTATTCCAAAATAACTATTCCACAACTTTTGAGTGCGCCCGTTATTTTGAAATATAACAGGCTCGCTATGCCAACGTCCCTGTAAACCTCCTTCCATGAGGAGCAAGGGACATTTTGGAATAGCGATTTATTTCTAAATAAGCGCAGTGTAGACAGCACCGCTATTTCGAAATTAACTCAAAATAAGCTGCGCAATTTGCATGGCTCAAATTGCATATCTCATTTTGAGCTACAGGTGCAGCGTAGACACACCCTAACAAATTAAACTACAGATAGTATCTGTGTGAGACCATGCTAAAATGTCACCATTCTTACACTGAAAGCATGCAGACCAATTACCTGAATCTTCGGAGAGCACGGGCATGGCTCTTGTCTTAGTGCTAGTGACAAATGTGCCACTTAAACCAAAATGTTTTTCTTCTTGCAGGACTGCGATTCAGAGACAGCCCTGAAATAAGCAAAGATCACGTCTGAGGTCAAGTATCTGGGACATACAGCTATTTTGGAATCCTATGTAATGCTAGCCTTTCTCATCTTAGTGCATCCTTCCTCAATTGGTTGGTTGGGCTAACTAAGATCAGGGTCCAACACGCAATGAAGTTCTGTGACTGTCTAAATGGTAACAGAATATCTTTTTGCCAAGATGCAGCACAGCTGTCGGATGCTCTAGAATCCAGAAAATAGCCATTTCCCTCCCTGTTCCAGATCCTCTGCCTATTTGTCCACAATTTTAGGCCCTTCAGGAATACATACCACAGAGAAGCAAACTGATAACTAGCTAGGACAGTGGTGGGCAAATGCCGATCCACAGACCGGATCTAGTCCCTGGCTGGCTCCCACTGCTATATTTACCTGCATCTCTGCAGGTACGGGTGATCACAGCTCCTACAGGCTACAGATTGCTGCTCCTGGCCAATGGGAGCTGCAGGAAGTGCTGACCCAGTCCGCGTCACTTCCCAATGCTCCCATTGGCCGGGATCTGCAGCCAATGGGAACTGCGATCGCCGGTACCTGCAGGGGCACAGGTAAAGAGAGCAGCAGCAGCCCACCAGGGATTAACCACCGCCGTTTTATTACCCATGGCATAGCAGGTGAAGTGGGAGCACAAGCATGCAATAGGGAGTAGAGGGACTTAAACACTAGGTGGCAGATGGCACCATACATACACAGTTTTGCGTCCTGTCGGAACAGTGTTGGGTCCAGGCATAAGCGGGCGCTACGCTCATTAATATCGATTGTTTCTGGCTCTCAAAGGAGAAGGTAGCACAAGTCAGAGCAGTGGGGCTGGCTCGATCATACGCCCAGTACTTCTTTTCTCTCTTACGTTTCCTCTTTCACGAGCGAACAGTGTCTCAAAAAGCAACTAAAAGACTTACTCTGCCTCTTGAGACCATACTACAGGTTGGACCTCCCTAGCCGGGCAAACACTCGGGACCTGACTGGTCCCGGATGAGGGATTTTCCAGACCAGCGGACGTCATTTCTGGCCCCACTGTTGCCAACCCCCTCCACCCCACTGTGCCCCCTCAACTGGGTTTCCTGGCTCCTTCCGCAGCCCAGCTGAGCTGCTTCTCCCTCCCCCTCTGACCTTGGAACATCTATGGTCCTTCCGGACTATGGATGTTGCCGGACCAGAGAGTTCCGGTTTAAAAGAGGTGCAACCTGTACCTGTCCATTCAAGACAAAAAACAACCATTATTAAGAGTTGCAAATTGATTGTGGGTTCTAAAACAATCTTTGAACTTTCCCCTTGTAAAATGAATTAAAACATGCTTTGCAGAGAAACAGGCAACAGCACACGAAGGCTGCTAAGGAAAAATGCCCTGAATCCTATACTCTTTGCACAATACATGTCTTATTTGGCCATGTCATTATGGGCAGGTCACAATGTTTCATTCCAAGATGCAGCTGGAAATCTTGTCGCTCTCGCCAACCGAAGTTGGTGCAGTGACAGAGATTCTCTCACCCGCCTCCTTAATCCATCCTCAAACAGTTCATTTTCTTATTGCCTGGTGGCCTTTGCTGGTTTAGCAATGTCAGATCTCCCGGGGGTTTTATAGAAGTGACTTTACTCTCTGTATACTGATTTCAGAATGGTATTTGCATTTCTTTCGGCTTTGAACTGTCTAATTAGTCCACCTGGGTATTACCAAAGACAACATCTCAGTTCTCTCAAGCTCACGACTATAGGCAGAACTAAAACATCATTTAATCGTGTAGTAGTTGATTCGGTCAGTTTTCACACTAAGGGTATGTCTACACTACCACCCTAGTTCAAACTAGGGTGGTTAATGTAGGCATTCAAAGTTCCAAATGAAGCCCAGGATTTAAATATCCCGGGCTTCATTTGCATCTTGCCGGGCGCCGCCATTTTTAAATCCCCGTTAGTGCGGACTCCGTGCCCGCGGCTACACGCGGCACGGAGTAGGTAGTTCGAATTAGGCTAATTTGAACTACCGTTACTCCTCATGGAACGGGGATATTTAAATCCCAGGCTTCATTTGCAACTTCGAATGCCTACATTAACCACCCTAGTTTGAACTAGGGTGGTAGTGTAGACATACCCTAACAGTGGGTGAACTGAGGGTCAGAATTATGAGTTTAGCTAAGGGAGGTTGGGCCCAGAAAGTCAGGAGTCTACACCGGTGGTTTTCATATTGGTCATTACTGGGTCATTGACTGTCAGGGGCAGGGCTGCAAGGGGGAATCAGCTTCCTGCCTGTCCCGGCCCCACAGAATGTGCTGTGCTCCAGAAGC